ATTATAATATAAAGAACGATGCATACAAAGCTGCTAAATATTAGCATACCTCAAGAAAAAATATAAGAAATGTATCTCCAAAAGTATAACTGTTCTTATGAGTACCGTGCAATTTATAATTATTATTTTATTCTCCATGTTAGCTTTGAAGGACATCATTTCAAAAAGTTATTTTTTTTTCAGAGTAATTACCATTATTAAAAAAAATAAGGAATAACCCCCCACAAAAAAAAAAAAAAAAATAAAATACAATCATGAATCCGATACTGATTCATTCATTATTGGCTAAACAGTCCAATTGTGTTTGCCCAGTCATCCTTTTTTGCTACGCACCTGATGGTTATTAATTTTTTCTTGCATTATGGATCATTTACATCATCCAGCTTTTTCACTTTCTTCTCTTCGTCCGTTCTCAGGATATGTCCTAACCATTTCTAACGCTGTACCCGAGCGAATTGGGAGACAGAAAGGTCGCCGTACATTGAGTAGACGTCCGCTAATGATAATGTTTATAATTAAAGCTAATATCTTACAATACTTATAATATATGTATATATATAATTATAATTATAAGACGAGAAATAGGCAAATTTATTAAAATTGCACAATGCTTATTGCAAAAATTATTACATTTTTAAAAAATGATTTGATCCAATATTCAATATGAAAATTGACCTGTTTCAAATAATAAAAGAAAAAAAAGTAAATTTTATTTTGAGACATTCAGTCCCCTAAGAATAATTATAATAAACTGCTTAGTGACATTAGTCTGACCTAAGAAGATGATCATCTTTTTGTTAGTTAAATTACATTGCTATCTAGTCTTGAAATAAAAGATTAAAAGATTAAAATGAAAGATAAGCACAAGTTAACATTTGAATTATAGATAGATTTATATGAGCGTGTTCACATATAAACAATAGAAAATACATAGGTATGTGTAAGATAACATTCGGAAGATTGATTGGTGAGGTGATGAAAAAATAAATGGTGTTTAAATGAGGTTAAGGATGAGGATTGGCGTATGGAAATAAGTAAGGAATTTCATAACAAGAAAGCACGCATGAGAAAGGGTTTTTTAAAATATATATATAATAGATAATTTTATTGTCGGTCTCGTATACCATTTTCTTATTCTTTTCAGAATATGATGAAATATATTCAGTTAGTAAATTTTATTATGTGTTCTTACCTTTAAATGAAAACCTTTATGGATTATCCAACTTTCTTAGGACAAATTTAAAGACTTACAAATAAGAAACAAGCAAAGCTAATTGAACAATTAAAGTTTTATTTCAAAAATACATTTGCTAGATTTATTAATCGTATAAGAGCAAGGCTGTGTGCTATATTTTTCTGTTGCTTGTTATAAATTGGAAATGTAATGATATAAGAGATTTCATATTTATTGTTCTTTATTCATACATAAAATATTCCCACATTAATATTAAAGTCAAGTAATTTAGAATTTAAATAAAAAATCACACAACTTTCACTTACTCTTTGAACTTTGCTCAACTTTGAATAGAAATTATTTTCTGGCCATGCTGGGCTATTACAATTTTTTTGAATTGGATTTTTAACTGAGCTAAAGCTAAAATATTACAGCTAACAAATCATAAATACTACTAAAATAACAAAATTCCTATTTATTACATCACCGGTTGATTATGGATTGTACTATTCGTTAATTATGAATTGTTCGATCCGTTGATTACCGTTGTACGACTATTAGTTATTAAACTGTTATTTTCCATTGCCAAGTTTATTAAAACGGAATTAAGAGATTTGCATTGTCTGTCATAGACCGATTAAAAATTGTCATTCTAACTGTAAGTCGATTCTGTTGGAATATCGCAAAGGGAAAACTTATCAAATTATTCACTAATTTAATTTTCTAAAAGGTAACATGATATTTTTTCGAAAAAAAAAAAACGGACGATAGATATCTAAATATTTAAATATAATATAAGATCCAGAGCTATTAAACTACAGTAAATATATTTTACGTTATAAACGTACCTATGAAATATTTGTATATTTCACTTATTCTTTCACACAAGAACAATGAAATAGTAGTGAATACTGTCGGAATATCACAAAGCTAAGATTCATCAAATTATTCACTAATTTAATTTTCTAAAAAGTTGCGTGACAATTTTTCGGAATGAACATTGATACCTAATTATTTAAATATAATATCATATATATGATCACCAAACTACAGTAAATGTATTTTAGGTTATTAACATATGCTTTATACATCCAAGAAATCATTTTATATTTTACTTCTCCTTTCACATAAGTACAAAGAAATAGTTTTTTTTAAACAATGCCATTGCATTGATTAGGTGGATTTTAAATACTTTCTACAAATGTAAACATATTTTTTAAAGTTTACATTTAGTTAATAAATTTCATTTAATTTCCTTGAAAACATGTGATTTACGTTAAATATTATCAGTTTTCAAAAGGTATTACTTATAATTTGTTTACTGCTTTCCGTTACCTTCTACAACTTTCTATATTAGATATTGTTTTTTCTAAAAGTATACTAAAAGTATAAAAGTATTGCTTTCCAATGATATAAGTATACCTTCTGACTTATATTTCCGGAGATTGATTTTGACCTGTATTAGCATTTTTATTTTTATCTCCTTTATTAAATTATTTCAAAAACTTATATTTAGCATTTTTTGTAACTTTTAATAATGAGAGATAGTTGACTATTTAGAATAAACCATATTAAAGGTACTTTAGTGGAAGACGCATATGAGCATTGGACATTTAAGCCCTATAAAGTGACATCATCGGGGATAAACCTAAATGATATTAAAGACCACTTAATTATACAATGATAGACCGAGTTTAATCAAAATCGTTAGAGCCGTTTTTGAGAAAATTGTAAAAATGTGTTTCAGCGTTGATATAAAGTGGCACTTCCGGTTAGCCGATTTTAAGAAAAAAGTTGCCAGGACATCTAAGGCATATATCTATCTTAAATAAATAAGTTATATCAATTTCGTACGTCTTTTCGGTTTCGAGCTAGTGTGTTCACATACACACAGATACAAAGACCATTTTTCGGGACTTGGTTATTTGGACTCAGGGGACCCTAAAACGTGTATTTCGGTTGAAAACTCAGTTTCAAAAATTTTCACGATCGCGATACTTACACTTACTATATATTTCATATATAGGTAAGTGGAAGTAAGAATTAAGAGTGAAATAATATCTGTTTGAAAATAAAATGGCCGTCGATATAACACATTGTTTTTTTGGAGGTCGAACCATAAATTAAACAGAAATGCATGTCATCTGTTTTGTCAAAATTTGGGTTTTAGATTAAGGAGCGTTGTACCTGGCCTCCATAGTGTATGTATTAAACATGGAAGAATATGGTTTTATTTTCTGCTGTATAAGACAGAATTATAATTACCATCCTATTCGGCAAAGACATATCACTTTTAGATTTCAACCCTTTTAAAATATATTTCAAACCAATTATATTTAGTTTTTTAAAGTAATTTTTTAGTAATTCTTAAAAAAATAGAGTGTTGCTGAAATATGAAATGTGCAACCCAACATTCATTTTTACTCGAACACAACGAAAAAAAGGTAATCTGTTAAGGTTGACCGATTGTAAGTATCTAATATTTTTTTGAAATACCTGCTGGACCAATTATTTAGTTCTATGGCTCAAATTACTCAGAGATCTCGTTACAGTTTTGAAAAAATTGAGCTCAAAATACTTTTAAAAAGTTCTGTTTACACAATTACCTACATTTCAAGATATACCGCTACTGTTAATTAGAGAAAAAGGTGCTTCGTAAAATTGATATTTTTACAGAATAGGATTATTTCTTTATATATATATTATGTAGAGGTTATACATAGAGAGAGAAATAACTACAAATATGAAAAAATAAAATAAAATAAATCTACAATATGAGCAAAGCGAATAACCATGTAAAATTGTTACATATGACCTTTTGCACTAAAGGAGATATATATTTTTTCTTTTTAGAATAAAATCTTCAAAGAATAAAATTCTAAAACATTCCTGGATTTGATATTCACGTTTCTTCAGCTAATACAAAAATGTGAAACGGTTCCACATTTGCGAATAGCGTATTTGACAATTCGTAAATAACAAAAAAAAAAAAAGTATAGTAATAAAAATAAATCACGAACACAAACAATTTTCAATACAATATTAAGGTATATATTGAACTTGATAGGTATGTTTTCACTAGTAAAATGTATGCAACGAAAATCCATTGAAAAAATTAAATTATTTGTTTGTTCCATGTAAATAAAACTATCATATTCTGTAAGTCAGAACAAAACTAATTTAAGCTAGAATATAACAATATGAGTGATCTTTACAAATTACATGAAAAAACCTGTTGCGCGCATCACATGACTTTCACTTATCACCCTCTCAGCAGACATAAGTATTTTCACACAAAGAGGAATTGAAAGTAAAAATTATATATGCGTTATTTATTTACATTTTCTTTTTTTTATTTGTTTAATTATACTTTTATTGAATTATAATTATATTGAGCCTACGTCTTACCCTTCTATAATAACTTGTTTAAAAAGGATAGCCCTGGAGCCAGGGTCCAAAAATCGACACGATCGCAGGCGAAGGTTTGATTGCAAGTTACGAAAGAGTATGTTCGATCCTCAAATTAATAGCCTAATATTCTTTAAATCAGCCACCATTTTTTAAAACGGCGGCTCTGGAACGGCAGACAGGGTTCTTTTTACTCAAAATAACATACACTTTCGTAATTTACTATCAAACCTTCGCCAGCGATTTGGTCGATTTTTGCGCCCTGGCTCCAGGGCTAGTAGACTTGATGCACCTAAAGAATAATATAATAATAAATTATCTATTATTGGATATATAATCATAATTTATTCCTTGATATAAAATTTGATTTTTATTATTGATGTATCTTCTTTGCCTGGGATATACCGCCCGGTGCGAATTACTCCTCTGCTGGGTGCTCTTCCACCACGGCAGCTGAACTGCGCACAGCCAACGGCAGACTCACACCTGGCCAGCCGGTAGGCTGATGGACGTGGAGCATTGTCCTATTACCTTCACGGTCCCAGTGTGTGAATAATGTAAACCCAGCTAGCCATATCGATCCTAGGCGCTTCACTCTCGCGGGACATCCACGGGCACAGCTGATAAGCGGCTTTATAGCCTACTTTCACTGAGGCTCTAATGGGATTGAAAAGGGAAAACTGGTGGCTACAAAAAGATTCCATCTTACCTCTAATGGCATTGTCTCAACGGAAAAACCAACCTCGTGTTCGGCCTGAAGTCGATACCAATAAATAAGTATTTATTTTATTTGGCACCACTGGTTATAATCGCGTTAAATTTGGATTATTTTTTATTTAATCATTATTTATTTTGAGAGAAGAATCCATCGGTGCGACTTATAAACATCATTGGGGAAGCGAAGGGGGGCAAACTATAAGACCATGGGAATATTGTTTGGAATATATCCTATATGCCTATATGAAAAATTACTACTCTCAGGCAGGTATCGAGTGGTTTCAATCCTTTCCTGATGACAGAAAAAGTTGAGTATGTCGAAATGCTTTATATTAAAACAGTACAGTATTTAATAAATGATTCATTTTACAGTTGAGGTGAGTTTAAGAATCCAAAATTGGACACCATTAAACAAATTCTACTATAACTGCTATTCTACTATTGCCCAGGCGGATCTACGGGAGGCGAAAGGCTTTTGGGCTGTAGACATCCTCCCTCCATCCATCTCCCCAAAAATGCTAAAATATAACCATGTCTTATGAAAAAAATTATTTTTGGTGTAATTACATTTATTACGACTTCAAGAATCACTAATACACCATTTCAAATAGTTTCTTTCTTTTTCTTACTAATTAATTATTATTTTATATATGTAAAAACAAGATTTCGGGCTAAAGCTTTCTCCTCCTCCCCCCAAATAAATTAATTATGGATTCGTTAATGCCTGCTAGTAATGATGATATATACAGTAATGGAATTATTTGTAAATGAATTGAAATGTAAAGGATCGATATGTTCATGAAATTCATACTATAGCAATTGTTTTTGGGGGACGGGAAGGGGACTATGGTAGCATTGGGGTGCTCAAGCCCCCAGTAGTCGTTGCACACAGCTTTAAAAAAGATCAGGAAGTCATTGGAAGGTTGGAAAGAGGCTATCACCGTTCCTCAGTGATAGTTTGGTAGAGAGTTTGCTTTGATGGCAGCACAAAGCTCCATTTTCGTGAAAAAGGAGTCAAAATAGCCGCTAAAAACTATCTGGACGATATTTTGGAACCTGTTGTCAAGCCTCTAAATGATGCTATGTTTGCTGGAAGTCATTGGGATTTCCAGCAGGATTCCATTCCACCTCACAAGGCCAGATCAACTCAGCAGTGGCTGCAACAGAACATTCTAGAGTTCATCTCTTCCTCGGATTGGCCCTCAGGCATCCTTGATCTCAACCCACCCGATTTAGTCTTCCTGGCTTCACGTAGAGCAGTTTTTCACGGATTCTACCGGAATACATTTTCTCTATGTGTCCCAACCACCTTAATCTGTGTGAAGATTTTCGGCAAAAGAAGAAGAAAGGATAATAAACCGGTGAATCTCCTTTTGAGGATCAGTGAAGACACAAGAGGATGCTCAGGAAGAGTACATTAGAATAATGGAACCGGCGATGGGTGACAACGCCAAAAGGATCTATTCTAAGAAAATACTTCCCCATCGTCGATTCGAGAATGGAAAACACATAAGTCTTCTCGTACTGTTGGGTCTCTCAGCTTCTTAAGAGCATGGAAGTTTCCGAGCAAAGCTCGTTGAACATGATAAGAATATCGATCTTCTACAGCCAAGTTGTAGGGTAGTTGTATGTTGTACTTGTAGGCACTGAGGACCAAGTTTTTGAGCGAGGCAGGCCCCTAATACGATAAAGATCAATCAATCCCGTACTACAAGGGCTTTGTGCATGGGTGAGAAGACGTCATTGGCTAGAAGAAGAAGAAGCTCGGCCAGAGAAGATAGAAGGGACGGTGGAGTATTGGTGCCGAACCAAGATAAGCAAGCTGTGTGCACAGCCAAATAAAAAAATTGAATTGTTTTGATTAGAATAGTAGATAGTTATGAATTATATTTATTGCTTTCAATTATAAAGAGTGTGATAAATAACTTATGTACTTGACTGTTCTATTTATAGACTTCTAAAACCATAAAACATTTGTTTTTCTTAACAAAAGAAGAAAAGATTACATGCTATGGCATAAATATTAAGAAATATAAAGCAGAAAGAGAAAAGAATGAGATGGTTTAGTTGTCGGTAAAAATAACGTAAAATAAGTGATGGTAACAATTAAATTCCAACGTTTCGATCCTTATTTTAGGTCTCTATCTGGACAGATACCAGGAGACGACTATGCACCTACAGTAAACTGAATGCAACTATACTTGAGCAGTAGAATAGAAATGCGATTCATATTGCAACGCGTCATCGAGTTCAGCCATTGTGACGGGACTTATCAGAAATTTATGAATTTCTCAGAGCGGTCGGGCGATCGATACCGACATGCAAATAATTATAGCGAAAATGTCACCGGTCCCTAGGAACCACGACGAAATGAAAACCGAAACACGGGGCTCATAAATTGACATCATTAAGATAAAAATTCCAAGATAATAATAATAATTACCTTTATTTATTCAGGAACAAGTCACTTTAGAATAAAATATAATAGCTGAATTGAGGTCTTTGGATCCTCAGATGTCATAACCAATAAAAACAAAATGTGACAAATAACGTATGACATAAAAAAGATGCCAAAATCCATAAAAATCAAATCAAATGATACGCCCTGTTTAAACAGAAAATCTTACAAATTTTAGATTTTAAATCAACTATCCAGGATCCTCTTTCATTCTGTTGAGAACTCAGTTTTGCATTAAACCGAAAAAAAAATTGTAACTATTATTGTATTGGACTTATATCACTCTTTTTTTGTATGCCTGAGATTTTACACTAAATTTTTGTCAAAATCGGCAAGCCGGAAGTGGTACTTTATATCAAAGATGTTATGCATATTTATGATGTAGAGATGGTTGACCGTTGATATAATATGAGAAGGAGTTAATCGGGGGGTGCGGTCAAATAAATACTAAATTAAAATATAGTAATTATTTTAATTTTTGCCTATGGATTGTGGGTTTGTATTTTATTGTTGACCCCGTGGTAATGCATTCATAATGGCAAAAATTAAAATAATTACTATATTTTAATTTAGTATTTATTTGACCGCACCCCCAGATTAACTCCTTCTCATATACATATTTATGATTTTCTCAAAAACGGCCCTAACGATGTTGATTAAACTCAGTATATCAATGTATTATTAAGTGGTCTTTAATATCAGCTAGGTCATATCCACATTGATGTCACTTTATAGGGATTAAATGCCCAATGTTCTTACATGTCTTTCTCTAAAGTATCTTTAATTTGGTTTATTTTTAAAAAATAACTGTCTCTTATTGTCGATAACTATAAAAAATGGGTATATATAATTTACAATTTAAATTAAAATATAATTTATTTTGAAAGAATTTGATGATTGAATAAAGCAGAAAAAAAGAAAAATATTTATCCAGGTCAAAAATGAATTTTCGGAAATGATAGTTAGAAGGTATAAGTGTAATATATCGTTGGAAAGCTCTTATATAATTTTTGCTGACGTATGCAAAGTTACATTTTTATGAATGAAGTTTAGAATTGTTTTACAATTATTTGTACTATATTATTATTTATATTGATATGAAATACTGATATTCTATCGCTTTCTAGACAAATAAATCGCAATTATATCTTCTTTAATTAGATTATGATTATTATTTCCCTTTTTTTAAAATTTTCTGGAAAAAAAAATGATACCGTCATTTAAATAAAATATTTTAGATTTTTATCGAGTATGAAATAAAATATAAGAATGTATACCCATTATTTCCTTAATAAGACTACAATTTTACATAATTCATTTAAATAGTTATAATTAAGCAAAATAAAAATAAAAATTTAATAATAAAAATTAATATTTATTAATTTCAATTATATGTCATAATAGATGAAGTCATAATAATGTATTCTATTTATTATTAATTATGATAAGAATATGGTACCCTTTAAAAAGTTTATTTTATTATTTTAATTTTTATAGGAAGTTTTCCAATAGTTTCTAAAAATGTATGCACTTTTTATATATTTAATTTCGTACCTTAAATAAAACTCATTTTACTTCTTGACCCATTAATTTACACGGAAATAATATGAAAAGTCTTTAAAATATATAAATAGAGGCAATAAGTAAAGCTCTGATCTTATTTAATTTAAAAAAAAAACAATAACATTGAGCCTATTATAATAGGAATTTTCAATGAGCGTAGGAGGATGTACGAGGTTTGAAGTATGAGGATTTGTCACAGAGCGCGCGTCAACACTGCATGCATGTTTAAAACATATGTTCATAACCTTAAATGCATTTATTGCAGTTTAACAACTCTATATCTTGCATTATATTTAAATAATTAGGCATACATCCTCGATTATTTTTTTTTTTTTGTTCTTCCCTTTCTAGCCTTTTAGGCTATGAGATTTTCACGGGCCATGGATTGAGGGTTTATTAATGCCAGAGTTGAAAACCCCTTCGCCACCGGAACGCGAACTCGTAACTATTTCATCGTTCATAACTTGCCGGGCAACGCGTGCTGCTGTGCACAAGCAAAGCCCGTTCGGCCACCCCCTCCCTTCTTCCCGATTCGTATCACTCATATAAACAAAATTTGGCCAATAAAAATTATGTTATTTTTTTAAAAGGATTTTGAGATCGAAATATTCACTCCCTCCCTTGAATCCAATGTTAAATTTCCCCATTAAATTATCATAGCAACAGCCAGCTATTCCACCACTATCTTTGACCCCATTGTCATTTAGCACATTGCCCTATTCTAATCATACAACCTATCATACAATGCGATTACGAAACATTTTCAAGGAAACTAGGAAATCGAATAATAATATCGTCGGTTTATTGCAAAACGTTATTAAGTGACATTTCATAACCTTAACTAACCAAAAACTTTGAACAATTTTTCAGCTATGAAATCAGAAAGTTGTACGCTTGTTGTTAAATTTGATATATTCAAGGGTTTGTCTCAATTTCAAGCCTTTACAGTATTTTTGTTTCGATAAATAAAATCGAAATTCATA